AGAATAAAAATGTATAAAGGTATTGTTCCTTCCCTCTTGGAATTTACATTCTGGAAAATATCCTAAAAAATAGTTTTAGTATTTTCATTCTAAAATTTTAGTGTTGTGTGTATGTGCTGGTAGGAGTAGCATTGGTATTTGGGAGGAGGAGGGGAGCTTTATTTATATGTAGGAACCCTTTCCCCAGAGCGTTGCAGATAATAACTTCCTACAGTCAAAGGTCCATGGGATGGTGTCAGTTTAAGCGGACACTTGGGTATGGTTTCTGACCTGTCTCTCATCACAGATGAGTTAAGATGATGTGCAAGGAACTGAATGTGCCACTCAAATTTTTAATAGCCCACGGATCTCCAGTGTTTCTTTTTAGCTAGGTAGATCAAAGAAAAAGTAAGCATGGTTAAAAACAAAACGAAACAAAGCAACACTACTTCTAAGTAGGACACAATTGCACCACAGGAACAGAAAGTACAAAGTTGTGCAGATGATGGGATATTTCTTAGGAAGCCTTTGATATGAGTACTTGGAAGGGAGTGAGAACTTTGAATGTGGTTCCACTTTCTCCCTTAGTTTTACATTGGATTGTAGTGGAGATTTTTCATTTCCATTTTTAACAGTTGTTGTTGTTGTTAAAAGCCCTTGAGTCCATTTTGACTCATACAGATTCTGGATAGGGTTTCCAAGGAGCAGCTGGTGGGTCTGAGCTGTCAACCTTGTTGTTCACAGTCCATTGCTGATTCTATAGCATCACACCAGGGGTTACTATAATTTGTATCCTTGTGAGGACAGTTAGGACCTAGGACTTAGGGTAGACTGGGGATCATGATGGTTTCTGGAACCCTTCTTGTGACATCGATTAAGCATGTGTTGAGTCTGCTCATCCATAATTATCCTTGTATGTGTAACCACCAAGGAGTTCACTTCCTTTCTGTTTTATAACCACATAATTCTATTTTTTCCCTGCACTGGCTGGTATCAGATATCTCAGGTAATATAAAGAAAAACAGAATCACAAATACAAACTATGGATTAGTAATGTTATGACTTTTACTGACAGTTACTTTGCTTACTTGGAATTTTCTGCACAGTTTCCTAGTATATTCTTTTAGGGGCATTACTGTGTTTGGGGGACTTAAAATAATTTTTTTATTACCATTCTTTTGTATTTTTAGCATTCTCCTAAGAAATTGCAGCTATTTGGGGGTGCGGGTGTCTAAAATAACAGTATCAGTGACAAAGCTTACATTATCATTTTAAGTAGGTCAGATATGAAACAACCTGAATAGACCAAGAAAGAAGATTTTCATCAAGACTTTGTTACATACATTGGGAATATTTCTCCTATATACTTTTGTTGGAATATCAAATGATGCTTTTTGTAAATTGCAGCAGCTTGTGGACCTATTATTGTTAACTTGGCTACAGTCTTCTGAATTTTGTCCTTAGGTAAATGCTTCCATTTTCATTTTGAATGGCTGACCATTCAGTGGTGTGCATAGCTCACTAGTGTTGTTGTCTCTGTATCTATGTATCTACCTGTCTACTTCTTTGTTGAAAATCGAGTCATGAGGAATTATAGTCTTGGGTTCCGGTCTCTTTGTGAGCAGTAAACTTACTCCTTTTTATTTTTTTATAATTTTGAGTTTTGTTCCACATTTCTTTCCACTCTATCTAGGACTTTCTAATGTGATCCCTTTCAGCGTAGTTTTTAATTGTAGCTGGGTACCATCTTGTTCTTCTGGTGTCAGAGTTGTGGAGACTGATGTTCACATGTTCCATTGGTCCATTGTACTAATTAATTCCATGTGTCTGCTTTCCTCTGCACATGGAGAGACCAATAATTGCACCTTAGATTGCTCCTTGTGAGCTTTTAAGATCCCAGTCACTACTTACCAAAGTTAGATGTAGGACATTGTCTTTGTGGACTCTATTATGCCCATGTTGACACTTTTGAGGGGAGTTGTTGTTTTTGTTAAGTGCTGTCAAGTCGATTCCTACTCATAGTGAGCTTGTAAAGGGTTTCTGAAGAGCAGCTGGTGGGTTTGACCTGCCAACCTTGTGGTTCACAGTCCAGCACTGATGCTCTAGCACCACACTAGGAGGGGGAGAGCTGTTGCTAATTTTTTCCAGTTTTGGAATCTCAAGTGAAGCCTTTAACTAATCCTTTCTCTTGCTTCTCCTTCCAAGGGAGGTAGCTAGGAATCTTGGGGGATAATTGTAAGCAGAATTGGTTCTGTTGTTGTTAGGTGCTGTTGAGTTGGTACCAACTCATAGCGACTCTGTGTACAACAGAACAAAACACTGTTCTGTCCTGGGCCAACCTCACTATTGTTGCTACGCTTGAGCCCATTGATGCTGCCACTTTTCCAATCCATCTTGCTGGGGGTCTTCCTCTTTTTCTTTGATCCTCCACCTTACCAAACATGATATCCTCCTCCAGTGACTCATCCCTCCTGACAATATGTCCAAAGTAGGAGCGACGAAGGTTGGCCATCTTGGCCTCCAAGGAGCACTCTGGCTGCACTTCTTCCAACACAGATCTGTTGGTTCTTTTGGCAGCCCATAGCACTTTCAATATTCTCCTTCAACACCATAACTCAAAAGCATCAATTCTTCTATGGTCTTCCTTATTCACTGTCCAGCTTTTGCATGCATATGAGGTTACTGAAAATACTATGGCTTGGGTCAGACGTAAGTCCTGGAAGATTCATAGCCATAACTAAGATGTTAATCCTCAAGCTGACATCTTTGCTCTTCAACACTTTAAAAAGGTCTTGTGCAGCAGATTTGCCTAATGCAGCATGTTGTTTGATTTCTTGACTGCTGCTTCCATGAAGCATGAAGAATGAAGTCCTTGACAACTTCAATCTTTTCTCCATTGATAAGAATGTTGTTTATTGGCCAGTGGTGAAGATTTTTGTTTTCTTTACACTGAGATGTAACCCATACCGAAGGCTGTGCTCTTTGATCTTCATCAGTAAATATTTTAAGTCCTCTTCACTTTCAGCAAGCAAAATTGTATCATGTGCATATCACAGGGTGTTAATGAGTATTCATCCAATCCTGATGCCATGTTTTTCTTCATATAAGCCAGCTTCTTGGATTATTTGCTCAGTATACAGGTTGAATATGTATGGTGAAAGAATACAACCCTGTCACACAACTTTCTTAATTTTAAACCATTTGTGTTCCCATGTTCTGTTTGAACAACTGCCTCTTGGTCCAGGTACAGATTCCTCATGAGCACGATTAAGTGTTCCGGAATACTCATACTTCGCAATGTTGTCCATAGCTTGTCATGATCCACACATTCGAAAGCCTTTGTATGGGCAATAAAGCACAGGTAAACATCTTTCTGATATTCTCTGCTTTCAGCCAAGATCCATCAGACATTAGCAATGATAGCCCTCGTTCCACGTCTTCTTCTGAATTCGGCTTGAACTTCTGGAAGTTCTCTGTCAATGTATGCTTGTAGCCATTTCTGTTTTACCTTTAGTAAAGCTTTACTCGCATGGGATATCAAAGATATTGTCCGATGATTTCTGCATTCCTTTGGGTCACCTTTCTTTGGAATGAGCACAAATACAGATCTTTTCTAATCGATTGTCTTCCAAATTTCTTGGCAGAGATGAGTGAGTGCCTCCAGTGCTGTCTCACTTTCTTGAAAGATTTCAATTTGTATTCCATCAATTCTTGGAGCCATGCTCTTTTCCAATTCCTTCAATGTACCTTGGACATCTTCCTTCAGTATCATTGGCTCTTGATCATATGCTACTTCTTGAAATGGTTGAACATCAACCATTTCTTTTTGGTATAGTGGCTCTGTGTATTCTAGATACGTGTTATACAGAAGTGACAGCACTTTAGAGGGTTGAGGGACTAATTTTTATCCTTGGTCTATATGCTTTTTTACTTAACCTCTTGTTACATGTGGCAATAGAAAATAATGCCTTACGTATGAATAATAATTTACAATGGCTATGAATCTTCCATTTATACCCATTGATTGGATTCACCTGTCCCAGACCCTAAGCTTCAAGGACAACACTGGGCATTTACCCTCTGGAACCCATGGGTGATTTTCCAAAACTGAATTGATCTTAACACGTGAGTCCTTCTATTACTTCATTGCCTCAAAGATCTGCTTTCCTAGATCCATAGTTCAATGGAAGGAAACAGGAACTGAGTGGATATGGAAGAAGAGTCCCTTTGTTCTTTTCTCTAGTTATAGGAGACCAGGATTAGTGTGCTTGGAAACGTTTGCGTGACAATAGATGAGAACCAGCTCCTTTATAGGAAAATGAAAGATGGAATAGTGAAACCTTAATTCTTACTAGCAGGGAATCACAATTATCATAAAATATTAACATCTAGCAATTTACTATCACGATCCTAGCTCTTTCTTGAACATTTTCTTACTTCTAAGAGTGCAATGATCACACTGAGATTTAAGAGAATATTAGCCTTACAAACTTATTTTAAACCAATTCCTAGTAGTTATAACTGCATTTGTCTTCCCAAGAATGCTGGGAGTTTGTAAACCCCCAATGTATAGGGTTTAAAAATAAGTGATCCAAGTAATAAGACTCTAGGGGAATCTTGATTACTTGACATTTGATAGTAAAGGAGATGTGGAAACAGAGCTAGTTGGTGAATTCACAGTTTGAAGTGCCAGGTGGTAGGCAAATGAACTTGAATAGTAATGGTTAACTTTGAAAGTGAGAAGAACAAAAATTATATGTAGAAATGAAAACTTTCAGCCTTACTAGGTAGAGTATTCCTAGATTGGGCTCATGCCCTACTTTGAACCTGAGATCTTAGGGAAAAGACAGGCTTCTGCTTCTGCAAATATCAAATGAAAAGCCAACTCAGTATTCTTGGAATTTTAGATCTGGTTTATAAACACCTGCTCCTTTTTACTGATTGACCTAGCTAGCCCCTGAATGCTGAGTTTCTCAGGTGCTCTGCTCTCAGTGACCTCTCTTCTTTATTGTGGAATGTAGGTGGGAAGAATGGAGGTGAGCCTGATGATGCTGAGCTGCTAAGGCTCAGTAAGAGACTGGTGGAGAACGCGGTGCTCAAGGCAGTGCAACAGTATCTGGAAGAAACACAGAACAAAAACAAGCCAGGGGACGGGAGCTCTGTGAAGCCTGAAGAGGTTGATAGGAATGTCAATGACAGTGATAACAACAGGAAATGAACCTGAGCCTGGGCCTCATTGCGTCATGAAAAGAATCCCTGCTCCCCTCTGCTAAGTCACAGGACTGACCAGCGTTGTGCTGCTTAAGTGTCTCATGTGGGATGCAAGGAGACTAATACTTCCATGATGGATGTATTTGCCTTTCTGTTGAACCACAGCAGAAGAGGAATGGAGCACTGGCACGAGCAGTATAAATGAATTTTTGGAAGAAGAATGGCCTACGTTTCTCTCACCCTTGACCCACAGGAAGCTCTTGTTATACACAAGGGAAGAGGATTTTGGATTAAGCCTGTTGTGTGCTATCGAGTTACATCCGACTCATAGCAACCACGTATAGGGTTTGTGAAACTGACTGATGGGTTTGAATTTCCAACATTTCGGTTACCAGTCCAGTGCTTATCCTGCAGCATCACACCAGGACTTGAATTAAGCTTGTTGTTGTTATTAAGTGCAGTCAAGGTGGTTCAGACTCATAGCAACCCTGTATAGGGTTTCTGAGGAGTGGCTGATAGGTTTGAACCGTCACTTTGTGGTTCGCAGTCCAGTGCTGAGTCTACAGTGCCATTCCAGAAGTCCCAAATTAAGCCTGTTGTTGTTAAGAGCCATTGAGTTGATTCCGGTCCACAGCGAGCCTGTATAGGATTTCCAAGGAGCGACTGGTGAGATTGAACCACCATCCTCGAAGTACAAACTGACATTGCAGTCCAATGCATTAAACCCACAGCGCCACACCAGGAATTCAGTCTAGTGGACTTGAGTATAAAACCACGGAGAAGCCTTGCCATAAATGGAATACTGCCCTTTCCATTGCTTAGCAGGTATTTTGACAATCTGAGGCCAAAACACAAAGCTAAGAAGTGCTGAGTTTAAAATAACCACTGTTGAAATCATCATCCTTAGAATCTCATTATATGATGTTTTCAGGTTTGTCCTAAGTATGCTCTTGCTACGTATTATTTACTGTAAATTATGTTTAATGTAAATGATATATTTTGGGTGAAATATAACGTTTTCTAGAAAATATGGGAAATGTTTAAAAATATTTTTTAACTGTCTTCTGATAAGTCAGTGTGCTCTATTTTAATGTTGTTCATTGGTATTTGTATGTAAAGTATATTATATAATTTCTCTCTTTAGGCCAGAAACCTACTGGAATACAGGACTTAATTAATGAAGCTTTGCATCTAGAAAGGATGAATCGAAATTCCAAAGTGAAACAGCTAAAAGAACTTTTATTAAAGCCTGAGACTCAGGCCAAAATTCGGAGGGAACTTTTTGAAGGAAGACTCATCAACTACAGGGATCAAGTAAATATTATTGATTTTAGTGCGACTTTGACATAAACTCTACTTTGCCATCTTGGATAAAATTGTTTCAGTTTATTAGGTGTCTGGTGAGTATCTACGAGGCATCCCGATACTGTCAACATTTGGTAAGGAAAGAACCATTTCTTGTAAAAGAAAACGGATTCTGATGTTTTGGGCTAAATCTATGCTTTACAATGTTTTCTGTAATGTTGAGAAGTACTTGTAAAAAGAATTTCATAGTTAGCTGTTGTGAGATGGTCCCCAGGTCCTTACAGATAAAAGATACAGACTGAAAATGATTATGGATGAAAAAAAAATCAGTATTTTAAGCATCACTTAACTTCTGTTAATGTGATTTTTTTTTTATAATCAGAAGAAGCACTGATTAGATGTGTTTATTGAGCATTAATACTCCTAGTACAATTCTAGGAAGTGTGACTGTTTATTTAGCATTAGTACTTAAATGAACATTTATAAATGTAATTATTATAATCATTGGCTAAGAATGTTTCACAATATCTATATGTACTATTTTTTACTGATCAAAATTTAGTTTTCCTTTTGATTTTTTAATGACTAAGTGTTTTTAGATTTTTATTTTCTACTTGTTTGAAGGCAAACTCTAGGTCTTACCTTATCCCTTGCAATCTGAATTGGTTTGCAAATACTCACTTTAAAGAGAATTCTTAAAACATTTTCCCATATGATGATCGCTGGTAACAACTTTTTCTCTAGTCCTTATAAACTTGCTGCTACTAATAGACCATGATGGAGGGGAAGAATTCTTTGGAAGTGGTTATGGCTTGAACTGTGACACCATCACTCCCAAATATGTATTACACATCTTAACCTCCATGCCTATGGTTATAATTCCATTTGAAAATGGTTGTGTTTGTTATGTTGATGAAACATGATTGTTGTTGTTAGGTGCCTGTGGAGTTTGGCTCTGACTCATAGGATCCTATGCAAAACAGAACAAAACACTTCCTGATCCTGTGCCATCCTCACAATTGTTAAGTTTGAGCCCACTGCTGATGCTACTGTGTCGATCCTTCTTATTGGTGGTCTTCCTCTTTTTTGAGGACCCTTCATGTTACCAAGCATAACGCCTTCTCCTAGGACTCGTCTCTCCTGAGAACATGTCCGAGGTGTGAGAGTTGAAGTCTCCCCTTCCTGGCTTCTAAGGAGCATTCTGGCTGTACTTCTATCAACACAGATTTGTTTGCTCTTCTGGCAGTCCGTGGTACTTTTAATACTCTCCTCCAACACCATAACTCAAAGGCATCACTTCTTCTCTGGTCTTCCTTATTCACTGTTCAACTTTCACATTTATATGAGGCAATTGAAAATACGATGGCCTTCGTCATGTGCACCTTTTTGTTGTTTCTAAGTGCCGTTATGTCAATTTCGACCCGTAGCGACCGTGAACAGGGCTTCCGAGGCTGTAAATCTTTATGGGAACAGAACGCCTCATCTTTCTCCCGTGGAGCAGCTGGTAGTTTCGAACTGCTGACCTTGTGGTTCGCAGCCCGATTCATAAACACTACGCTACCAGAGCACCTTAGTGCTCGAATTAATATCTTTGCTCTTGAACATGTTGAAGAGGTCTTGTGCAGCAGATTTGCCTAATGCAATACGTTATTTGATTTCTTGACTGCTGCTTGCATGAGTGTTGATTATGGAGGTAAGGAAATTGAAGTATTTGACAAGTTCAATCTTTTCTCCATTTATCATGATGTTATTTATTGGTCTAGTTGTGAGGATTTTTAACAATTTTTTATTGAGGTGCAATCCATACTGAAGGCTATAGTGAACTTCACTAAGTAGTTTCAGTCCTCTTCCCTTCCAGCAAACAAGGTTGTCTCATCCACATATCACTGGTTTTTAATGATTAGAGGATCAGAGTAGTATATATATTGAGTTAATCTCTCTTGAGATAGAAGAGAGATTATAATCAAACTAGCAAGCATAGATAGGATAAGATAGATGCCAAAGCACATAGAGATTTCCAGGGAACCAGGCAGCAGAAGTTGAAGAGGCAAGGCCCTTCCCCTGGAGCCAACAGTGAGAGAAAGCCTTCCCATAGTGCCAGCACCTTGCATTTAAATTCCAGCTTCCTAAACTATGGGAAAATCAATGTCTGTTTGTTACAGCTACCCACTTGTGGTATTTCTCTTACAGCAGAACTAGAGAACTAAGACAGAGAAAAAGTATGAAAGCATTTCAGATATAAAATTCAATTTAATCATGGATTTCTGCTATTTTTTTCACTGTGTAAAGGATATTACATTTATTTATAAATGAGTTTATGCATTTTTCATGCTTCATAATAAATGTCTTCTTTTCCTTCTGTTGTCTTTCTTCATTTTCTTTTTACTCTTGGAATTTGTTGGGTCTGTGTTGGTGTGATGATGTTACAGACAGGAACTCTGGTAATCCGTATTCTTCATTTTTGTGCACCTATCCTTCATGCTAAAATAGCACAATGGTTAAAGCACGTAGAGACAGGTGTGGTAAGAACAACTGTCAACTTGAGACTTTTGTAGCATTTCAAATCAGTCTGCTTTACAGAGAATTAACAACAGAGCATTAAAATCATAGGAAACATAATAGCTCTCAAAAACTGCTAATAATGTGTCACTGAAGTGACATCACTAGCAAAGATGAAAAGAGCAGTGTGGCACTGTGGTCTAATGCGCTGGATGACAAGATCAGTCTGAAAACTAAGGTCGGTGGTTCAAGCTCACCAGCCACTCCTCAGAAATCCTATACAGGGTCGCTATGAGTCAGAACCAACTTGAAGACACTTAACAACAACAACAACAACATCCAGATACAAAACTTGGCAACTGCTTTACCAGGAAACACCTCCCAGTAGTGTAGAGGGTGATCTTAAATCTACCTTTAAGATAGCAAGCAAATATACTTTTGGCCTCATTTTTCAAAAGAGAAAACAGACTCAGAGAGGTTGGGTGCTTTAACCAAGGCTTCACTGTTATTAGGGATCTGGGCCTGGGCTTCCTAATCTACCTAAGGCTCCATCTCAAAGTTTCATTGCTATTTTCACCATCCCATAAGCTAAGTTTACAATATTTTAGGAAGCTCTTCTCAGGATATCCCTATAAATAGCTGTGTCCTTAAGGAGCGATTCCCAATCCATCTGAATAACTGAAAGGGAAAATAGGATACATTTGCAATCTGAAGTTACACGTTTCACTGTGATTTTAGTTACGAATCATAGATTCCAATTTGTTAATTACCTACTGTGTGCCATGTGATTTCGGCACATTAATACATTTTTTTCCCTTCAGTGATCCTCTCAGGAAATTATAAAAACTGCTTTACAGACTAGGAAACTGGGGCTCTAAATGGTGACATAGCCCAAGGTCATAAACCTAATAAATGATAGAGCTAAATTTAAACTTGGATCTGACTTTAAAGTCAACACTTTCCACTATGGGACACTTCCTCTTTCCAGCAAGTATAATACATTCACAAGCTAAGGAAGCCTAACAAAGGCGAAGTTGTTTTCTTTTGACTAGACTAGCTAGCTCCCTTAAAATCATGAAATTTGATGGCATATGTAAGAACAGTCAGTTCATGTGTTGAATTGGGAAAACCTCAGGTATTTAACTTAGGGATTAAGAATGCTCCTCTAGATGGTATCTTTATATAGACAGGTTTATAAAGACAAGGGACTCCTGTTGTGGCCCTGTAGGATAAGCACTGGACTACAAACCACAAAGTTGGCAGTTCAAACACAGTAGCTGCTCCTTGAAACTCTGCACGTGGGCACTATGAGTTGGAACTGACCAGGTGGCACTTAACAACCACAGCAACATGAAGACAAGGAGTCCTGTAGGATAATCACTGGACTGCTAACTTCAACGGCACCAGCTGCTCCTCAAAAACTCTATACAGGGTTGCTGTGAGTCAGAACTGACGCAATAGCACTTAACAACAACAATAATGCAGACAATGGAACACATAAACTAAAACAAATCTTCATGGTACCATGTTTAAAACCCAATAAGACGACACTTGTAAAATACCCAAGTTTGAGATCGAAAGTATTCAAAATGAGGTCTTTTTGTTTATTTGATTCTTTTTCTTAGATCAATCAGATTCACAGAATTGCTTACTGGGCCACATAACTGGAGTATATTGTTCTAAGTTGGGACTGACTGCAGTTAGCCTTGTCTTCTGACAGGAAGCCTACTTGGTTGCTGAAAGAACTCTGACTTGATAGGAGACAGACTGGATTTTAAATTTGATTCCACCACTGACGTGTGATCATGTGTTTGAGCCTCAGCCTTCCAGTGTGTTATTTGAAAGAATTTGGCCAGGTTAGCTGGACAGGGGATTTCTAACTCAACCAGTTTTCTTTGTGACAATATCACGGTACTGCCCTCTTGATTGGGTCATTGTAGGGCATCTGTGGCAAGAAGAAGCTAAAAATTCTAGAAGACTGGATGTTCTATTTCACCTGTGTTGCTATCTTCATGTAGGGAAAAAAGTGGCACACTGCGGTGATTCATGTTATGTGTTGACTTGGGTAGGCCATACTTCTCAATATGCAGTTATCCTCCATTGTGTGCTCGGATGTAAACGGGATTCCTTTTGGAATGAAGCAGGTATCCGATATATATGGACATTCTGGTAAGCTCAGTCACTCTTGGTCCTGCATCTGACTTGTAATCCTCTGATCATTGGTTCTTGGGACATGAGCCAGCAGCCTGATTTTGGGTTCATCAGTCTCTGCAACCATGGATTTGGAACTTGCCATTCTACTACTGTGGCACTGTAGAATCAGCAATGGACTGTAGCTACAAAGCTGGCAGTTCAAACCCACCCACTGCTCCTTGGAAGTCCTGTACAGGGTCGCTATGAGATGGAACTGACTTGACAGCATTTAACAACAACTCATCTCCACTGCTGTGTGAGCCATTTCCTTGAATAAAACCTCAATAGTCCTGGTGTAGCGCTGTAGGATAAGCACTGGACTGCTAATTGCAAAGTCGACAGTTCAAACTCAC